TGTGTGTGTGTGAGTGTGTGTGAGTGTGTGTGTGTGTGTGTGTCTGTGTGTGTCTGTGTGTGTGTCTGTGTGTGTCTGTGTGTGTCTGTGTGTGTCTGTGTGTGTCTGTGTGCGTGTGTGCGTGCGTGTGTGCGTGCGCGTGTGCGTGTGCGTGTGCGTGTGCGTGTGCGTCTGCGTCTGCGTCTGCGTGTGCGTGTGCGTGGGCGTGTGCGTGTGCGTGTGCGTGTGCGGGTGGGTGAGTGGGTGGGTGGGTGGGTGGGTGGGTGCGTGCGTGCGTGCGTGCGTGCGTGCGTGCGTGGTGGGTGGGTGGTTGGGTGGGTGGGTGGGTGGGTGGGTGGGTGGGTGTGTGTGTCTGTGTGTGTGTGTCTCTGTGTGTGTGTGTGTCTGTGTCACTGTGTCACTGTGTCACTGTGTCACTGTGTCACTGTGTCACTGTGTCACTGTGTCACTGTGTCACTGTGTCTCTGTGTCTCTGTGTCTCTGTGTCTCTGTGTCTCTGTGTGTGCCTGTGTGTGTGTCTGTGTGTGTGTGTGTGTTCTGTGTGTGTGTGTGTTCTGTGTGTGTGTCTCTGTGTGTCTCTGTGTGTCTCTGTGTGTCTCTGTGTGTCTCTGTGTGTCTGCGTGTTTGCGTGTCTTTGTGTCTGTGTGTCTGTGTGCCTGTGTGTCTTTGTGTCTGTGTGTCTGTATGTCTGTATGTCTGGGTCTGCGTCTGTGTCTGTCTGTGTCTGTGTCCGTGTCCCTGTCCGTGTTTGTGTCTGTGTCTGTGTTTGTTTGTTTGCTTGATTGTTGCTTTTGTGCTTGTGTTTCTGCATGTCTTTGCGGCTTTGCGTTCTATGTGCGGCGTTGCCCTCTCAGGATGCCCCCCTCCAAGAGAGAGAGAGAGAGAGAGAGAGAGAGAGAGAGAGAGAGAGAGAGAGAGAGAGAGAGAGAGAGAGAGAGAGAGAGAGAGAGAGAGAGAGAGAGAGAGGGGGACGCCAGGCATCCAGGTGGTTGCTCTTGGGGGGTCAAACCACAGGGCCAAAGCTGAACAAAGGTCTCCAGTCCGTACCGTCGCTTCCACAAGCAGATTCGAACCTGGGCTACGCGGGTTCAAAGTTGGAGCGCTGTGCCTGATGGTTTCCGAAAGCTGGAAAAGGGACAGCCACTGACGGTGCGGACACGCGCGGATGTTTTGCAGGAACGCGCTTTGTCTATAGAATCGAGCAAGCAAAGCAGACACCTAAACTGGTACAACAACCCCACACACACAACCCGAAAAACAAAAAACAAACAGGGAAGAAGCGGGGGTGATGGTCTTCCGATTTCTCTGGCTCTCTCTCTCCCTCTCTCTGCCTTGCCTGCTTCATCCTGAAACTAGTCACCAGCGAATTCATGGCCGTGGCATTCCTGGCGAACCAACCCTGCACGTGACACCTAGTTGGGAGCCTCAAGTCCCGCCATCTGTTTCCGAGATGCTGGCTGCTGGTTTAGTCTCCAAAGGCGCAACACGAATCGCTTTAGTGACAGGCCCGTATTGCCAAAAAGGGAACCCTCCAAAAAGACGCACCCACAAAAAGCGCCCAAGCCACCCGAGAACCGGCGAATCTGGGCTTGGTGTCTGATTTTCACGGGCTCAAGGTCACCTTGCAAGTTGCATCCATCTGCCCATGTGTCCGCCTGGGAAAAATGAAACAATGTGTCCAGTGATTGCGCTTTTAAAGCCAAGGGAGAGTAAACCATATCCTTAATAACCTGAGCAAATGGAAGGTTGGTCTAGGGCTGACCGAAGCCTGGAGTTCCGATAGTGGGAAGGCTGGCGGATCCATCCGTTCGAGGGATTTTCTTTGCGAGCTTAGGGTTGGTTCAAGGTTGGTTCAAGCTTAGGGTTTTCTTCACGGCTGGTTTAGGGGGTTCAGGCTTGCTCTGTGGCGAGCGGGCTTAGATTCATGGCTAACTTGGAGGTAGGCTTCAGCTTGGTTCTGAGAGGGTTCCGACAAAAACAAAGCATGGGTTGGATCGATTCTAGAATTAGCGTTGAGGGTGGAATTGGGGGTCGACAGCGGTTCACAGATCATGTGTTTCGCTACTATAAGATGCGCACCCAGCGGTCTTGCAATTGTGTTTAAAAAAATAAATGTAAATATGTTTAAAACAAAAAGTTGAATACATCTGCTGTAGATGTATACTGCAATGATGGCTAATGCAACCACAAGCCTGCAAATTAGAACGGGGTTGAACAACCAAACTAAGTCGTGATCTTCACCGAAACATGTTGCTGCTTTGCTTTTTCAACCCAATTCCAAACAACACATCCCCCCCAGAAAAAAAAGAAGAAAAAAACCTGCGCGACGCGCACTCCGAGTCTGAGGTTGGTTTGCGGCCTTCGCCTTTTCTCTTCCCGCCCCAACCCCCCCCCCTCCCTCCCCGGGCCGGCCCGAAGCTCTGGGCAAGGTCGCCGCCCAGTCCGCTGACGTGGCCCAGGCCCACAGTGGCGGACATGCGACCTACAGCTCAGCTTCCCCCCAAAGTGGTTTGGAGCACAGTGGTGCGGAGGTGAGGTGGTGAGGTGGTTAGCTGGTTAGGTTGTTAGGTGGTTAGGCGGTTTGGTGATAAGGTGGTGAGGGGGTGAGGTGGTTAGGTGGTTAGGCGGTTAGGTGGTGAGGCGGTTAGGTGGTTAGGCGGATAGGTGGTGAGGTGGTGAGGCGGTGAGGTGGTTAGGCGGTAAGGTGGTGAGGTGGTTGGCTGGTTAGGCGGCTAGTTGTTAGCCGGTTAGGTGGTTAGGCGGTTAGGTGGTGAGGTGGTGAGGTGGTTAAGTGGTTAGGCGGTTAGGTGGTGAGGTGGTGAGGTGGTGAGGTGGTTAGGTGGTTAGGCGGTTGGGTGGTGAGGTGGTAAGCTGGTTAGGCGGTTAGGTTGTTAGCCGGTTAGGTGGCTAGGCGGTTATGGTGAGGTGGTGAAGTGGTTAGGTGGTTAGGCGGTTAGGTGGTGGGGTGGCTAGCTGGTTAGGCGGTTAGGTTGTTAGCCGGTTAGGTGGTTAGGCGGTTAGGTGGTGAGGTGGTTAGGCGGTTAGGTGGTGAGGTGGTGAGGTGGTGAGGTGGTTAGGTGGTTAGGCGGTTCGGTGGTGAGGTGGTTCGCTGGTTAGGTGGTTAGGCGGTTAGGCGGTTAGGTGGTGAGGTGGTTAGCTGGTTAGGCGGTTAGGTTGTTAGCCGTTTAGGTGGTTCGGCGGTTAGGTGGTGAGGTGGTGAGGTGGTGAGGCGGTTAGGTGGTTAGGCGGTTAGGTGGTGAGGTGGTTTGCTGGTTAGGCGGTTAGGTTGCTAGCCGGTTAGGTGGTTTGGCGGTTAGGTGGTGAGATGATGAGGTGGTGAGTTAGGTGGTTAGGTGGTTAGGCGGTTAGGTGGTGAGGTGGTGAGGTGGTGAGGTGGTTAGGTGGTTAGGCGGTTCGGTGGTGAGGTGGTTAGCTGGTTAGGCGGTTCGGTTGTTAGCCGGTTAGGTGGTTAGGCGGTTAGGTGGTGAGGTGGTTAGCTGGTTAGGTGGTTAGGTGGTTAGGCGGTTAGGCAGTTAGGCTGTTAGGGGCAGTTGAAACCCTAGTTACCCTCAAGAAGAGAAAGTTCAAATCCCCAAGCCACCAATCCAAACTACTTGAGGGGAGCAGCTCCGAAAGGATCCAAAAAAAAGAACGGATTTGGGTGGTCTTTTAGGAATCCCCCAAATGCCTGCCAAGTCTTCTTTGCCCTTTGGTGTGTTTCCCTGTGCAAAAGAGATAAGAAGACACACCCATTGGGTGGTTGTCCTTTTGTTTTCTTTTCTTGGAGGACCCCCGCAAACGCTGTTGGTGGGTGCCGCTTTCCCGGTTTCCCTTTCAACCTAGCGCAAATGGACCCTCAGGCTGGACACTCTCGCCGGGGACAAACATTCAGAGTTGGAGCTAACCCCATGGCCTTCCTTTGGGCTCCCTGAGGAAACTCCAAACCGGGAGACCCCGGAAAACGAAGAGTGTCATTCACCCCCCCGCTTTTTTTGCTGGCAGAAACCCCGGCTTTTGCTTGGCTGTAACTGGAGAACAACCAGCAGCACGGTTCCCAGGACGCGACCTTTCAAGCGGGTCCCTGGGCTTCACGGGTCCCACGGGCAAGTGACCTGGAACCAGCTCATGCATTCGCAACTGAAGCTTTCGGAAAGGAGAAGAGTAGCTTTAGCAGAAAGTTCATCCAGCATGCATCTGCCGCAAAAGGGCTTCCTCAAGCAAAGCTTTGGCTCTAGAATGGGGCTCCATGAGAATGACCAAAGTTCTGCTTGGGTGGCGTTTTGGGCTTGCCGGCAGGCTCGGCGAGTGGCGAGTGGGCACGTTCACAGCAAGAGCAGTGAAGCTTCCGGAAGACATATGTCTGGTGTGTGTGTGTGTGTCCTTTTTAGGGACCCAAATTGGGTGGGTGTCCCTTTGGCTTCCCTTAAAGCCACCTAAAAAAGGGGTACCCTCAAAGCAGACACGGGTGTGATGTCGCAACCCAACTTCGCCAGAGACCCCTGCCTTGGGCCATCCATATCCAGAAAGGTACTCAGGAACTCAGAACTCAGAGAACAACCCCTGAGTCACAGTCTTTAGTGCAAAACCTCCCCAAATGAAAGCGGCAGAAAAATCCAGGCCAACTTAGAAAAAATGCAATCTTGCAAGCTTGAAACGGGCTGCAAGACTCAACAGGTTCACGCAACATTTCACGCCAATTCCGGCGAATTCCTTGCAGACCATGCGGCGGGACCAGTACGAACATTTCCTCAGATTATGCAAAGATGCCGAGACGTCTCGGGACCCCCGGAATGGAAATGCCAAAATCAAGCCCCACCTCAAGCGCACAGCTTCCATCGGAGGGGTTCTCAAATTGGTGGACCCCATTTTGTTGGATGTTTTTCAAGGGAAACTAAACGGAAGCCATCCATTTTGGTGTCAAGCCTCTACTTGCCGGATCTCTGCAGCCCAAGGCTCGCTGAGCGCCCATTTCGCGCCATGGCCTAGAAACGGGGCTTTCTGAAGCTGCCTGTGCCATTCCGCATCTCCGGGATGCCAGGAGAGACGATGGGTCTGATTGTTAACCAGGGACCCTTGGTGCATCATTTCGGGGATGTGTGTCCACCAACCGGGCTCAGTCTGACAAGCCGACAAATGTCTTAAAGCAACCGCAACAAGCTACGGTCAAACAAGGAACCGTTAGGAGGCCACTCACGGCCCTGTGTCTCCAACCCATCTCGTTCGCCTGGGGTTCGAGCCTCCGTCCAGCGACCCACTCTTCCCTTTAAGGGGAACACCCTCAGACACGGTGGACACAAATCGCCTAACTGATGCACCAAGGGTCCCCAATTACGGTTGCCTGAAGACTTCTGTCCGCTTGTCAGATTGAGCCTGCCCTCTCAGATTGAGATTGCTTTCCAGGACCCGGCGAAAGTACAGAGCTAGCCTAGTACCCCTCACATCTAACCCAGGTTGCTAGCGCTGGCCCTTTCTGCTGGATGAGCATGAGTCTCGGACATGCAAAGAGTCTCTCTGTGGGCAATTTGCCCGTGTTGTGGTCGACGAACTGATCTATATACCTGCTTCATTTAGGGCTACGAGTACAGGCGTTTACGGGCTTGTAGCCTTACGTGAAAGCTCGTCAACCTTCGTCAAAAGCGTGGCTGCAAGACAAACTGCTCATATGCTCACAGCCAGGTGCTTTGCACCTTGAGTGGTTTCGAGCGCCTGACTTCGCGTCCGGGATAGGCTCCTTGGTCCATCTTTGCCGCCAACAAAAGAAAAAGGAGTACATGATAGCCAACTGGCACGGGCACGAGCGCTTTCAAGGCAGCAGTGTAAGCGCAAAGCATCTTTGGCAAGCCCGGATGAATCTGATGCTGAGTGAAACTTGAATGCATAGGTGGCCTTCTGGAAAAATAGATGGTCTTGGTAAATGAAATAACACATCCAAAATATTCAAACATATCCAAATTAGTGCCAGCTGTGTTTGACTAAACTAGCCTAAAAAGGACACCTCTCACTCACTCTCACTCGTTCTCACTCGCGCTCAGTCTCACTCACTCTAACTCGTTCTCACTCTCACTCTCCCCCCCACTATGCTTGAATGCCGTTTCATGAGCATCGATCAATCTCCGCTCTGAGGTTCCGGCGTGTCCATCACTTGTCAGCTTTCGGCCAGTCCTTCAAAGGAAGCTCACCGCAGTCTGCGACAATCACCTGGCAAGGCCAAAACAAACTCATCCGGCATGATGTTTACTTAGGGACACTTTGGTGGACACCATGTAGGTGGGGCAAGAATGCCCTCCAACAACTTTACAGGCTCCAACTTTGGAAGTTTAGAGCCATCTGTCCCACGGCCAAGTTGAAAAGCTGACCTGAAGCCGCCGCCTTTTCCCTTGAGCTCGGAGCATGTCCGGCCCGGGCTTGCTGTTTGAGCCTGCCAGCCCTGCCTTCTTGGATGTCTTGCCACTGCCTCAAAGAAGCGAATTCGCGCGACCTGCGAGAAACCACCGCCGAATGAAAAGTTATGATCCTTCCGGCCCATGGTAGGGGCCAAACAATTACAAACATGGGCCTCCTATGATCGTGAGGTAGCTATAATTTCACAGTCCACAACTTGCAACTGCCACAACTGTTGCAAACCAGAAGGGAACAGCGAGCTGCACCCCTCGTATGAGACTTACATGGTTGTGTGTTGAGGGTTCCCGTTGCTGGTTTTAAAGGGACGCCTAATGGTTTGGATCTTTGTGCTGCCTGAAAACACAACGGGAAACACAACACACCCGCCCGAAAAGACACGGACCCAGAATGCCGTATGAGTTTGGACGATGGCGGATCAACTAAAACAGGTCCAAGGCCCCAGTGACGCAAAATTGCTTGGGCCCCGCGCTGGATCCGACCCCCTCGACCTTCTCCACCACCTCGTAGCCCTCAATCACCTTGCCGAAGACCTCGGAGCCGTGCCCGATTTGGGCCATGCTGCCAAACCCCGCAAGTGCGCACAACTCACTGGGACATGATCCTCATGGCACTTCCCCGAAAAGGCCAGCTGAAGTAGCGACCTTTCCGTTTTTGAATCAGGAACCCCGTATTCTTGAAAAAAGTGGGGACAGCAACAACGGTGGACTCAACTGGCCGGAGCTCCCGGCCACGTGCTTGCCATCCAGGTGCGATGTCTTCGTGGTGCCTCGGACCCCAACACCTCGACCAGTCTCTCAGCCTCAGATGGGCTCCGAAACCTCAGAGATCAACACGTGAAGCCAAACTGCGGATTTGTTGTTGGTCAAGACATATGGCTAGGTGGAGACAGGCTGCGGTTTTGTTTTTTTTTGTTGAGCTTTTCGGGAGGCCCGAAAGCGATTTAAAACCGCTCCCATGTCGCTTCCGTTCCGAGGCCCCAAAGAGGTCGATATTTCCCCCTTTGAACGGAGGAAACACCTCGCCTGGACTTTCCCAAAGTGCACAGGGAGTCATGAAAACTGAGTGATGCGTGTCGGAGATCAAAAATTTCGGGCCTCCGGATCTCGAAAGTGTTGCGGGGGGGTTGCGCCAGCCCGGCTTGGGAGCAGGCCACTTGCCAATGCAGTTTCTAAGGGAGCCCTCGGATTTTGATACGAACCTAGCTCCTTGGATTCAGCTGACTGAGTCCGCCCTCAAGATCTGGGTCTGAGTTTTCTTTGGGGACCAATTTGGCTTCCTTATCTACAGGGGGATTTGTGTCCAAGTCTTTCAATACGTCAAATCCGTCTTTTTGCCTGGGGGGGGGGGGGTCGGTTTTGGAAACCGAAGCGACCAGGCTTTGGGACAAGCTTGTGCGAAACAAATGTGTTTTTTTTCAAAATAGGACCCATTAAGAAAGATGGACGGGTTTTCTCCTTTTGGATTCTGCGATTCCCCGTAAAGCCCAACTTACATCTTGGTTGGTCTTCCTTTTGGATTCCCTTTCAACTCGCCAAAAGCCAATTGGATCTTTGAGCACCCCAAAAACAATAGATCGAAAAATGATCAAACAAAAAAAACAACACAACAACCACGGACCCCTTTTGGCAACTCCGCCGAGGGCCCTTTTTTCGTTTGTTTTTCGTATTCGCCCGGGGACGTCCCTTTTGGAACCCCTGGCCCCCGTGGCCCCGGAACCAAAACGGGCCCCGGGCAGAGGAAGAACTGGGAGCCGTTGGTGTTGGGCCCCGCGTTCGCCATGGACAGCACCCCAGGCCCCGTGTGCTCCAGCTGGAAGCCTTCCTGGAAGGCCCCCGGGCCGGGCTCTCTGGCGGAGAAAGCGGAGAAAGCGGCAGGGTGGAGGGGAAATGGAATCCACTTGTGGCTCAAAATGAAAGAGATCTAGGGTTACAAGGTTTTAGTCTTTGTTTCTGTGATTCGGGCACGAGCCTGTGCCCAGGCAATGGGTAAGTTGGGGTAAACAAGCCACAAAAGAAAGGTTCCCCAAAAGCAAACCAATCCCCGGTCCCAAAGATCAGGGTTTCCCACACACCAGAGAACAACAACCAAAGGGAAACAAACCAAACAAGAAAAGGGTTAACACGCAACCTTGATCGACAACAGGCCGCACGACTGGTCCCTACCAACCTGGCGGCGGCCCGAGGTTCTTTCTCCCCCGAGTTTGACTGTCGGTCCCCCCCCCGTGTTTTCCCTTCTGCCTCCTATGACATTTTGTTGATGGCGGCCTTGTGGTCTTTCTCTTAGTCGACGCAAGGGGTTCGGCGACGCTCATCCGAGGCGCGCCGGATCCAAAACTTGAGCCAAACACCACAGGTCAGTCACTACCGCGACATCCCTGGTGATGAAATAAAACCATGGCTAATCACACCCCCCTCACGAGGAGCCCGTCATATGACGGGTGGAGCGTGCCATTTACTGATAGGATTTAACTGCTCGCATACGTCCGCAAACAGCTGGACACTACCGCCGTCAGCGGTGGAGCAAACCCACAAAGGCAGTCGCGCGACATCCCGGGCATTAAATTCCCGCCACCACCCCGAATTACTCGGGGTAACGCTGTCCAACATACCTTGTGGAAAAGTCCACATGACGACAATGGGTCACAACTGTTTGCATCAGAAATGCAAGAAGTTTAATTCTTATCAGAAGCCATGAAATAAAAGATAACGTATGTCCATTAGTACCCTCGCCTAACGGCAAGAGGTACTCCTGACCATGCGTACCTGAAAAATGCCTGAATTCCGCAAACCCGGGAGTAACCCCCCATCAGTTTGCTTTCCCTCTCACTCACACTGCTTCCGGATGAGCACGTCCAGCAGCTCAGCAGCGGTACGGGAGAGACATGACCTCCGCGCCTCAGCGGTCCGGGAGGAACATCACCACCTCCGCACCGCGCCGACCATTGGAGAACGGACGCAAGCCTATCGGCCGCAATCCTCGTGACTCAGCCTACCGGCTATCGTCACGTCTCCTCCGGTCACGTCCGCCCCGCGCACGGTCCCTATCACGATCCCTTTCGGATCTCCTGCGATCATCTCGCCTTCGATCCCGCTCCCGATCGAGTGAATCATCATCACGACGATCACGAGCATCGTCCCTCCTCCTGTCGCGATCATCCTCGCGCCGCGGACGATATCTGCGCCTCCTCGACTCTCTGGAATCCCTGGTGTCCACGGTCCTAACGGACCTCCGAGAAGGAGTACGGGAAACATCCGATTCCCTACGCCTCCTCCCAGATTGAGAGTTCGTCACGATCTGGTTGAGAGCTTCCAGTGCCGACGCGTCCTCACCATTTCTGATGAAATCCCTAACCTGCTTGTTCAGCACTCTGTTGGTGGAGATCGTCAAGAAAGCGTCCACCACCGAACTCTCAGGCAGCACCAGGAAGTGACCCTCCACCGGGCTCGCCGCGGCCCGCTCAGCAGACTGCAGCCGGATCTCCCCGCCTTCAGGCTTCTTTGCCATCGCCTTGGAGGCAGTCAAAGGCGCTACCGCATCCTTTGCCGAAGATCTGCCAAGCGCGGAGTGAAGATCATCCCCGCTAGCTTCTCTCGCTGCCGCACCTGGTCTGCTGTCGACGTCGCCAGGCCTCGTGGATGCCTCCCGCTTTGTCGACTCCTTCGCAGCCTCGTCGGGATCCCAACGGGACTTCCTTTCTCTCTTCTGCCCTTCGGCCGACCCGCGGCTACCGCCGGGAGCGTCACCTCCGCCTGTCTTCTCCTTCTTGACCTCAACCTTCGGTTCGGCCTGCTTCGTCTCCTTAGCCACAGCTTTTGGAGCCGGAGCACTCCTCGCCTCAGATGCCGAAGCAGCCTTCCCTTTCGGCTCTGCCTTGGGAACCGGGGTCACTTTAGCCTTGGCACTCGGCCTGGCCCCTTCAACCACCATCTCGGCCCAAGACTTCTTCGGCTGAGCTGCTGCTGCATCAACCTCCATCGGAGCAGGTCCAGCGTCATCCTTCGCCTTTGGGACGGATGGGCTACCGCCCTTACCGGATCCTTTACCCGGCACTTCACCTGACTTTGGTGGCGGGCCGGAAGGACTACCGCCCTTACCGCCCTTTTCCCCCTTCTTCCCTTTTCCTTTTCCGCCCTTGGGGACCGGTTCCTGCTTGGGACCAGGACTCGGCGCAGCATGATGCACCGATTGGAGTCCCTCGATGTCCACGTTCAATGGTTCGGGTTGTCGACCGTCAAGAACCGTCCTCACCCTTTCGTCGCTAACGTAGACGAATGGGTCACGGAATGGTGCGGGAGGCTCTGACTGTCCGGCATTGATCGCCTTCTGCACCTTGGCTATCGCCTCCTTCAACCTCTTCTTCTCATCATATCCTGTCTCCGATACCATGTACCCCCTGAGCTGCGACATCAACGCATGACTCTCCAGGATGTCCACGTCCTTTCGATGGGTCGGGTACAATGGGGTCAGATGACCAGCCGCAGAACCAATCACGTATGCCATCGGAATATAGAATGACAAGTACGTGTCATGACGAGCGAACTTCCTAACGGAAGTCGTCATACGCCTACCCCACTGAGCAGCGTGTCTTGGGTTGGCCCGGAAGTACTCCGTGACCGACTCAAATCTATCGACTTGGTTGGTCTTGATCAGGTGCTTCGCCACCCACTTCTCCACAAACGCATCCGAGGCCGAAATCCCGGACACATAGGAGAATTGGAAGAGCACCTTCGCCAGCTCATCCCACGCCGCATCGACACCTCCCTTGTCTTCACCAAGATAAGGGGGAAGTCTGATGCCGCTCTGCACCGTCATCCTTAGATCGGATGCCATTGAATAGGAAATCAAATTCCTTTTGATGACTCCGACCACTTCGGAGGGAATCCTCCTGGGCTTGAACTGCCCCATGGTCCTCACCCACTCCGGCACGATGTGGCACGTTTCGAAGTCCTTTTCCTCCGCGTTGGGGATAAAGTTCGGGTAAAAGACCGGGAGCGCGCACCCGGGACACAAGTGCATCCCATTCGGCATCAATTCCGCGCACCTCAAGCAGAACGTGGCAGTCACATTCAGCCTGACCTCTTCCCGTGATCGCTTGTGCTCTCCCCTAACGGGGGTGAAGTCACCGTAGTCCCATGCCCGATGGTACACTATTGTGTAATCATCGTACATATACGCCGCCTTCCAAGCTCCCATGTGGATCTCGTTCCTAACGGCAAGAGTCTTCCTTCTCGTCAAAAACACGGGTCCAACCAAGGACCAGTGCACCCGAAGATCCACCATTACCACCACGTACCTACCGGAGTAGTTCCGCAGCCTGTCCCTGACATACCACGAAGGCGATACCTCGGCATCCGGCGCCATGGCTCCCACAAGTGGGATCAGGCCCTCATCCTGCCTACCATCCCCAATGGTCTCGTACACATCGGGCCTCGTGATCAATATCTCGATCATGGCCTTTCCATTTCGCCTCACCCTTTGGAGCTGAACCGCCTTCCGAAAGTCCGAGAACTTCATGATGACGTATCCCACCATGGGGAGTTCATTCCAATGCATCTCATACATCAGAGATCCGCCAGATGCATCTTCCTGAGTATACCTGTGCCTAACGGCACTGTAACTCAAGTCGCGTCCGATCCGCGTGTGCCTAACGGCAACCAACCTGGTGCTCTCCTTGAGGAGAACGCCATCCCCGTCGTACATGACCATGAGCATCGCCTCCACTTGCCCTATCGGGAAAGCCTTAAGCGTCGGAATGAAGAACTTCCAAGACATCTCAGCGTTCTCCATACCCGAAATCTCCTTCAGGAACCAGATGGCCTGGTCACTTTTCACCCAGTTTCCAGCCTCGCGTCCGGTCTCCTTCAGCACACGTTCCTCGAATAACTCCGAGACTCTCTTTGAATTGATGACCAAGCCGTCGAAATCGCACGAGAGCAGTCTCATCAACTCCTTCGCCGCCTCCCGTCCTGCAACAGTGCCCACTGTCTCCTCGTAGTTTGGGAGGTATTCACCCAACCTCGTCTTCGAGGGAACCACAATCTGGCAAGTGACGGCCTCATCAGGGATAACTCCCGTTTCCCTTAGCTCCGGATTGATTTCTCGCCTATCGGCAAGATAATCCTCCTTCCCATCCAGTATCACAAGATTGTAGGTCATCTTGCTCGCCGCCCCACTCGGCCTGAACTTCCTGCTATCATCTAGCTGGTCAGGAGCAAAGGGTCCACTAGGGGCAGCTGCACTCACCAGAGGCGCTCCTCGCCCAGAGCAGAGGTGCTTCTTGTGGAAGTTCACCATCTGATTCAGCTGCGATAGTGCGTAGGCACGATCCTCCAATGACGCACTCTTCATCCCAGCCTCAGTCAGAGGAGCCTCAGGCTTGTCATAACTCGCCTTACCGCCCCATCTCGCCGCGACCAGCTCAGCAGACTTCACAGGGTCGATCAAATTCCCCGACCATCCAGGCATATTGCTCAACCTCCTAGTCAACGCGTCTACCGACGCAGCCAAGTCTTCGTCCGTCACGGTGTAAGGGTCGACATTCTCCCTGTCGTCCTGACCCACATCCGGAAGCCTATAGTCCCCGCGGATGGCCTCCATCGCGGTCCTCTCGGCTTCCTCAGCCTCCTCTTGCGTGGCCACAGCTCTAGGAATCAGGAGCGCGACCTCAGCCGGCAACGACTTCTCCATGTTGATTGGAGTATTCTTGGGAAGGATTCTTCGATCATCTCCCTCCCCGCTGTACACGTATTCCCGAGCAGCCTTTCGGTACTCCTCAGCGGTAGCCCCTCTGTAGTTGGAGGCCTTGCTCGGGCCTTCCTTCC